AAGATCATAAAATGCGCAATATCGGAAAACATTTGGAATGGGTCAGTCAGACATGATTATGACCACTTATTACGTTTTGTTTTGTAGAAATTCTTTCTTTAAAACGAATTTCGTTTTGAATAAATTGCATCTTCATTTTAATTTTTTTTCATCAACGAATTGCCTGGATTAATTAATAATAAGCAAATATAGTGATCAGGACACTAGGGATGCAACGGTACACGGTAAAATCCCGGACCGTTCGGTCAGCCCTGCACGGGACAATCTAACCTCGTGTCCCGCGGGACTTCGGTTCTGCCATAGGAGTTCGTGCTGATCCTTTAACCGTATTTTCCGCACTATAAAAGGCGCACTTAAAAGCCTTTAATCTTCTCAAAAAACAACAGTGTGCCTTATATTCCGGAGCGCCTTACTATATATGGATCAATTAGTTAACAACGCTCCGCGTTATTCGCCCGCGAACTCGCGCTCGTGTCCAGCTTATGCCCGCTTTGTCACACGGCCAGTTTAACCTCGTATAAATCAGGTTATGTGTGTGTTGCTCACGAGCGCTCACTCTAACAGACACACGAATAGACCGGCGCTGCTCGCGCGTCATAGATGTTCATAAAGCGCTCCCCGTTCACACGGGTCATCTCATTCAAAACAGCCAACTGTTGTTAGTGAGCCGCCGCACATTGAATACTCATATGAGTCAGGCTGCGAATGTAAGTTACGTGCCCGCCCCAGCGCGCTCACGCTTACTAAATAAACGCCTCACCTCCGGCTCCGTAGCCTACTCTCTACATTCCCAGCACATAGTGGATGCATAACGCAAACCCAGTCAAATGTTTGACTGCAGTATATTTTTGCACAAGAATCTCTCAAAAGTGGATTAGTAACATTGCACTTAGTATCCTGAATGCAGTATTTTTTTTATTATATTATTTTGCTCTGCTCTTTTTATTCAAACCACAAGCTAATTTATGTTAAAGGTAAAAGTGCACTTTTTCTTTCACATTGATCACTTCATTTACCAGTTATCAAGGTTTGGAATTGGGATCCACTTGAATATTTTAAAGTGTGCTCGTTTACATTTTGTAAGTGGTAGTTGAAGAGGTTGTATTGCTTAGTGTTGTTCAGTACAGACTAGAGTGTTAATTTATTCCATACACATTGATGTTCTTCCTACTGTGACATTCTGTTTATGCTCATAAGAAAAATAAAACATATTTTTGGGATGAAATAGCAGTCTCTTTCTGCACAAAACATGTACCGAAACCGAACCGAGACCGTGGCCCAAAAACCGAGGTACGGACCGTACCGTGGGCTATCTGTACCGTTGCACCCCTACAGGACACGCGTCGGCGTCGAGAGCTCGTGGCGCGTGATCTTCAGAAATGCGCTGCCCTCTCTAGAGGAAATATCACCACTCTGCTCACATTCTCTGGTGTGAGACAATGTGTATCTCCTGTTTTCAAATAGTTGATTGACAGCTTTTAGATGCATTATTGGAACCGACACTCTCTGGTTGAACGTGTCATCATGTGTGATGCCGTCTGAGCCTTATCTCGTAATTTTTAATTAGTCACTCACGCGGTAATACCGTATACCGCGGTAAAATAGGGAGGAGGTTTGACGGTATGAAAATTTGGATACCGCCCATGCCTACTGTGTGGCATCCCCTCTTCTTTTAATAACAGTCTGCAAACGTCTGGGGACTGAGGAGACAAGTTGCTCAAGTTTAGGAATAGGAATGTTGTCCCATTCTTGTCTAATAAAGGCTTCTAGCTGCTCAACTGTCTTAGGTCTTCTTTGTTGCATCTTCCTCTTTATGATGCGCCAAATGTTTTCTATGGGTGAAAGATCTGGACTGCAGGCTGGCCATTTCAGTACCCGGATCCTTCTTCTACGCAGCCATGATGTTGTAATTGTTCAGGGAAGACCTTGTATTTACCAACAACATGCAGTATGTGGTTTGGCATTGTCTTGTTGGTAAATACAAGGTCTTCCCTGAAAGAGACAATGTCTGGATGGGAGCATATGTTGTTCTAGAACTTGGATATACCTTTCAGCATTGATGGTGCCTTTCCAGATGTGTAAGCTGCCCATGCCACACATACTCATGCAACCCCATACCATCAGAGATGCAGGCTTCTGTACTGAGCGCTGATAACAACTTGGGTTGTCCTTGTCCTCTTTAGTCCGGATGACATGGCGTCCCAGTTTTCCAAAAAAGAACTTCAAATTTTGATTCGTCTGACCACAGAACAGTTTTCCACTTTGCTAGAGTCCACTTTAAATGAGCCTTGGCCCAGAGAAAACGCCTGTGCTTCTGGTTCCCGTTTAGATATGGCTTCTTTTTTGACCTATAGAGTTTTAGCCGGCAATGGTGAATGGCACGGTGGATTGTGTTCACTGATAATGTTTTCTGGAAGTATTCTTGAGCCCATGTTGTGATTTCCATTACAGTAGCATTCCTGTGTGTGATGCAGTGCCGTCTAAGGGCCCGAAGATCACGGGCATTCAGTATGGTTTGACCCTTACGCACAGAGATTGTTCCAGATTCTCTGAATCTTTGGATAATATAATGCACTTTAGATGATGATAACTTCAAACTCTTTGCAATTTTTCTCTGAGAAACTCCTTTCTGATATTGCTCCACTATTTTTTGCCTCAGCATTGGGGGAATTGGTGATCCTCTGCCCATCTTGACTTCTGAGAGACACTGCCACTCTGAGAGGCTCTTTTTATACCCAATCATGTTGCCAATTGACCTAATAAGTTGCAAATTAGTCCTCCAGCTGTTCCTTATATGTACATTTAACTTTTCTGGCCTCTTATTGCTACCTGTCCCAACTTTTTTGGAATTTGTAGCTCTCATGAAATCCAAAAGGAGTCAATATTTGGCATGGCTATTCAAAATGTCTCACTTTCAACATTTGATATGTCATTTATATTATATTGTGAATAAAATATAAGTTTATGAGATTTCTAAATTATTCCATTCTTTTTTTGCTCACAATTTGTACAGTGTCCCAACTTTTTTGGAACCGGGTTTGTATATATATATATATATATGAAGAGTTCAGATGCAAAAGCCTCTAAGTGCCATTTGAAATTTTCTTCTAGAATGATAATTTTTATCAAGCTTGTATATTTAAGTTCAGTGATTTCACTTAAATGATTTTTATGAATGGGCTCTATGCACGGCGTTATTTCCGGTGAAGGATTAAGGATGCTCGATAACTTCCGCCGATCATAGAGTCCAATGCAATACCGAGAATTTATATTGAATTTTATACTCCATGGTTATACTAATGAAACGTTAGTCACAAAAACAGATAAAACAGACACCCCTCGTTGTGTTTATGCTTCTTTTTAAAATTATATTAAATAAACATAACTATATATAAAATTACATCTAAACGTATGTACGTTTCGTTTCAAAGACGGGAGGACAGTAAATATTGAAGACTCTGCCATAATCCCGTTTTCTGCGGTTTTCCTCCGCTTTAATCTCCACAACCGGAAATGGACGAGCATCCTTGCGTCAAATGCGGAACTTATGCGTGCATATAGCCCATTAAATGAATTACCTATTAATTGTTATTTAAGTGAAATTACTGAACTTAAATATACAAGTTTGATAAAAATCATCATTAAAGAAGAAAATTTCAAATGGCATTTAGAGGCTTTTGCATCTGAACTCTTCATATATATATATATATATATATATGCATATATATATATATATATATATGTATATATATATATATATGCATATATATATATATATATATATATATATATATATATATATATATATGTGTGTGTTTATTTATATATATATATATATATATATATATACTAATTTAATTAATAAAAATTTTACTTAGTTCGTTGTCTATCATTAAAGATATATATAGAATATATACATATATACGTTTGTCTATAAGGAATGACAAACGAAGACATTAAAGTGTCTTTTTCACATTTATTAAGTTCAGTTCTCAGGGAAGTGCCTTTCATCAAAAACATTATCTGCTTCTCAATTGCTACTCATCAGTAGCTAGCTATAAAATAAGTTGGAACAAAAATAAAGTGCTTCTTCATAATACAAAATGGTTGAATATAGATGCATTTCCCAGGAAAGTTGCAGTTTACCACAAATATCATGTAGAACACAACCAGTGAAGACAAAAAAAAAACATCTATAAAACAAAAACATCTAAAAACATCAGCTCTGAGCAATGTGGCTCTAAATTATTTGAGAACTGTGCCTCCCTTTAAAAGTGCAGTAAGCGTAACAAACGTACACCCCTCCCTTCATTGCTCCGCCTCAAAAATGTATGAACACACAATGCAAGATTGGAAGTCTCTTTATCATAACTGAAGGAAAGCAAAATAATGCTTCACGAAAAGTAAAGCGAAGATAATGAACAAATGACAAGGAAGAACAAAAATTAACATGCAGTACACAAGAGTATGCAAACAAGTACGTAGTTAGTCGCCAGAAACACACCAGCTCCAGACAAACAATGACACTCAGAACTGTCCTGTTACTGAAGTTAACTTTACAACAACAGCATGTGTTGGTTCTGTGATACACAGCAAAAGCATGTTACTCACATGGAGCAGAAACAACAAAACCCTCAGCATCTGATTTCAGGCCTTCCTGCTTTGGTCTCTCTAATGCAGGAAAGCTTTTCTAAAACCCCTTTTTTCCCCCACTAATATTCCTCTGACCTTTTCTCTTTTGTAATATCTCTCAGCCATCTCTCTTTCTAGTCTTTCTTCAAATCTCCCTCTTGCTAAGTTGTATCTAGGGACCTCTGTTTTGATTGGCTAACCTCTGTGCTTGTGACTTCTGCACAGTATGTCATGTGTATTTGAAAAGGGTGAGTAAAATAAATGTTTTCCATGACAGGACTCCTTAAATTTCAGTTAATTTTAAAATAGTCTGATTAAAAAAATGTGCTAATGCTAATGTGTGTTTGTACATGTGTGTGTGTTGGCAGACGGTGAACCAGTTGGCCCATGCATTACATCAGGATGAGGATTTGGATGCTGGCAGTCTTGTGTGTGTCATGTGGCCTAAAGCAAAGTGTGCATTGCTCCGTGATGACCTGGTACTTGTGGACAGGTAAACCGGACAGTTTGGCCTGAGACATACTGCCATATTTTTAGGAAATAATGTATTATCAGAAATTTTGTCATTTAACATAATACATTGCCTTTAAGATCATTCATTTCTGCACACATTTAAACTTTTTGCATGTATTTTTTTGTGGCTTTTCTGGATCCTTTTTTTAATATAAATATGATGTTTTAAGGATACCAATGCAATGACATGCCTACTGCATTATATAACTAATTTAGTGCATAAGAAGTCACATTAGTAATATCTGTGTCTGAAACGTATATGAAATCTTCCTTTTCCAGCCCTGGTATCGATGTCACAACCGAGTTGGACAGCTGGATTGACAAATTCTGCCTTGATGCTGATGTTTTTGTGCTGGTGGCAAATTCAGAGTCAACTTTAATGCAAACGGTGAGTTTGATACGAACTTCAGTTGGTAAGGCTAATTAAATGTGGGAGCAGAAGCTTTACACAATAATTTCTATATATTACAGCATTATGGACACTGTTAAAGGATTAGTTCACTTTTGAAAAAACTTTTGCTGATAATGTACTCACCCCCATGTCATCCAAGATGTCCATGTCTTTCTTTCCTCAGTCGAAAAGAAATTTAGGTTTTTGATGAAAACATTCCAGGATTTTTCTCCATATAATAGACTTCAATGGGAACCGGATGGTTCAGGTCCAAAAGATAGTGTTAATAACAGTTTCAGATGCAGCTTCAAATGTCTTTAAACGACACCAGACGATGAATAAGGGTCTTATCATGCGAAACGATCGGTTATTTCAAAACTTATTCCAAAAATGTAACTTTTCTAAGGACAAATGCTAGCCTTGCTATATTCTCTGAGGCGCGTTTGTAACGTCACGTAATACGTAATTACGTTCAAAAGGTCACGGGCGACGTAGCCGGAAGTACAGAATCAAAATCGTCCGACATCGTTGTTTTTCCTTTTAATTCCTTTTTTTGTAAACGGTGTTTGAGCTAGTTTGCACGTTCAACCTATGCGTTCAACTTGTAAACACTGACTCTGTACTTACGGCTACGTCGCCCGTGACCTTTTGAACGTAATTACGTAATAGGTGACGTTGCAAACGCGCCTCACAGAATAGAGCAAGGCTAGCATTTGTCCTTAGAAAAGTTACATTTTTGGAATAAGTTTTGAAATAACCGATCGTTTCGCATGATAAGACCCTTATTCATCGTCTGATATCGTTTAAAGACATTTGAAGCTGCATCTGAAACAGTTATAAACTGTCTTTTGGACCTTGAACCATCCGGTTCCCATTGAAGTCCATTATATGGAGAAAAATCCTGGAATGTTTTCATCAAAAACCTTAATTTCTTTTCGACTGAGGAAAGAAAGACATGGACATCTTGGATGACATGGGGGTGAGTACATTATCAGCAAAAGTTTTTTTCAAAAGTGAACTAATCCTTTAAAGTGCAGTAGTATTCACACTGATTTGATGTGTGGTTAAGATTTGTGTATTAATCTTCATTGCAATGCAAAAGAGGACTTGTCAAGCATGATTAACTTTTATTTTTCTCCAGTCTTTGTGAGGTTGTCAAGTAATTTTAAAGTGGACTCACTGGTGTCAAAATATGTCTCCCCTCTGCCCTCTTAAAGGAAAAATCATTCTTTCACAAAGTGAACGAGCGTCTGTCCAGTCCCAATATCTTCATCCTGAACAACCGCTGGGACGCCTCAGCCAGCGAGCCTGAGTACATGGAAGAGGTGTGACTTGCATGACACATTCGCTTAGTCTGTTTACCCTGAAATGTTTTAAACCGTTAGCATCCCTGATATTGATGAACCTAATACTGTAAGCACGATTTTTTTCTTTTCTTTACAAAATAAAGTACAAGGTGAAGATTTAAGTTTTTTGTGTCTGTTTTACACATTAAATCAAGCAAACAAATTGGACCTTCGAGTAGCCTTTTTAGAAACCAAGGGTGAATGATACATGGTGTTTTTGCACTTTTATAAGGAAACTTGTGTGTTTGTCAGGTGAGACGGCAGCACATGGACCGCTGCTCTAGTTTTTTAGTGGATGAGCTGCGGGTGGTGGATCGCGCTCAGGCCAGTGATCGAATCTTCTTCGTCTCTGCTAAAGAAGTTCTGCAGGCACGTGTCCAGAAAGCACAGGGAATGCCTGAAGCAGGTAGATTTGTTACAAACTTTTTCATCAGCTAAACCTGTTAGATGTTAAGTATTTACAACATAAAGTATTTTTGTGTTAATATTTGATTTTTGAATGTTTTTATTTTAAAATTCTTTATATATAGGGCTGCACAACAAAACACTATACAGTATTGTGATTTTAACTGTGATATGATGTAAATGAACATTAAAGAGGACTCAAACCTCTTTAGTTGTGATAGTCTTAGTACATTCACACTGGTGTTTAAGGAGTCCAATACAATTAAATAGTTTTTATTATTAGTTTTAATCCAATAAATAATATTATAATAACATTTTTATTTGACACTTTGGTAGTGATATTACTAATATTTATGTCTTCAAAACCTAAAGTCTTAATAAATCTCAGCATTTCATTTGATGGTCGTTATAAGCTCTATTGCGATTTCAGTTTTATTTCCGTTAATTTTGCAGCCCCATTTATTTGAATGTTTCATTTGATGTAATTAATAAATATTCGTTTTTCATCATTAAACCCAGACTTTTGCGAACCCACATTTTGGGAAAATCTGCATTACAATTGTTCAGTCAAATATTCTTTAATGTGATAATTTCAATGTTGTAAACTTTAATGTATATGTATATTTAAGGATCAAACTCTTCTTTTGAAAGAGCAAGACAAGTCTTCTTTTCCATGACATGACCCCTGTAAAGCCATTCTTGTTGGATTTTCAGGTGGTGCTCTAGCTGAAGGTTTTCAAGCGAGAATGTTTGAGTTTCAGAACTTTGAAAGACGTTTTGAGGTGAGTGTTGTTGGGTTTCAGGAGTGTGATTTGTTTCAATGTGTTGGTGTGTTTGTCTAACTGTCATATATGCATGTATGCTTACAGGAGTGCATCTCCCAGTCAGCAGTGAAGACTAAGTTTGAGCAGCACACAATGAGAGCCAAGCAGATATCTGAATCTCTGCGTCTGATCATGGACTCTGTGCACATTGCAGCTCAAGAGCAGAGGTGAGCGCAAAGACGCCTGCTTTTCTTAGCAGTAATCCATTACACTAAATACTGATCCACTGGTGACATTGACATTAGCTTAGTGCCTGAGTGTGCCGTTACAATCTGAGGAAGTGATATAAATAGTCAGATTAGAGTCAGATTTTGAAATTGGTGATGATATCCATTAGGGATGGGTATTTCGAGCACTGATAGATCTAAAAAAAAAAAAAAAGGGGCTTGGCATGTCCGTCATGGCGATAATAAAAATATTTGAATTAAAACCGTTACTTTAATGTACATAAAAATATTACATGCCTATCAAATTCTGACTTGAAAAATAACACTGCTAGATTATCAATAATGCATTAATATTTTCAACAACAACAAAAAAAAAGCTGCATGAGTTGAAGCTAAAGAGTGTATAAACAACATGTGAACTGTACAATGACACCTCCTAAATAAGATTAATCAGATATCCTTGATACTAGGGGTGCACGATTCAGAAAATGTCACGATTCGATACCGATTTTTTGTCTCGAGATTCGATTCAAAATCGATTTTCGATTCAAAAACGATTCTCGATTCAAAAAACGATTCGCAGGTCTATATAAATGTAGTTTACTTTTTCCAATGTGATTGATTGCAGTAGACATAATTTAAAAGAAAAGTTTGATATTACTTTATATGTCTTCATACAAAAATAAAAACTTTTGCAACTAAAAAGTGCGAAGTGCCAAGCTTTGGCCAGCTTTTAAATACATTTAATTCAAGTTTAAAATAAAACTTAAATAAAAAGCTTTTACACTTGGCTTTAAAGTGCTGTAGTCAGATCAAACAAACAATTATGCTAAATGTGGTTTAAGGAGTAGGCCTACTTCAGCTACCAGGTTGACTGTTGAAATGAACTCGACTGGGCACATTGAACTTCCTAAAAATATATACTAATTTCATAGAACCCTTGCGAAAATATTTTAAATAGATTTAAAAAAGCCATCGCTACTGGTAACATCTATGGTTAGATTGATTTGTTTAGATCCAGTGAAGTCGTTCATAGGCGCGTAATTTGCGGGTATCTCCAGTTAACTAGCAGAGCAATCATTTAGTTCGCTATTAAATAAGAGACCTTTTGTTTTTGAAATCAAGCTGAGCGCTCTTGTCCGCTGCGATCAGTGTCATGGATACAGTGTTCTCTGTGGCTCGCGCAGTCTTCTCTCGGACGCGCGCTTCAATCTATCGCCGTTGTGGAGACTCCGGTGAAATCACAAAAAAAATGCACACAAACGTGATGAACATATTCGGCTTTGGTGAGAGAGAGAAAAAACTATATGAGTGCGGTTTAGAAGCCATAACCTCTGACACGCTTGGCAAAAGATCTACAGAACTCAAACATAAGATCTGCGGATCGATGCATTTATTTACGGGTTGAGTAGAGTGGTTGCACAGTTTGACCAGCGGGCGGATCACTATTAGTGAGTAGAGTGGTTGCACAGTTTGACCAGCGGGCGGATCACTATGCACTATATGCAATAACTATTTATCAGACCAGTGGCGGATCTAGAAAATTTTACATGGGGGGGGGCAAAGGGGTGGCAAGAGGTCTTGGCAGGGTGGCAGGGGTAGACGGTATGGCAATCCCTATATGTGAATTGCTTTAACAAAACAAACATAAAAACACTTTTAAAGTAGATATTGTTTAATCGTGTCCTTACACACTACAAAGGTTTTAAATTCACAACAGGTATAAGCCCAGTGCAGTGTTCAAACAAAATTGTGCATTCAAAAAAAAGTAAAAGTATAAAAAGCTAAATGAAAATTTATTTTAAAAAGTGCAATATTTGTGTCCAAGATGCAGAGGACAGGTATAAAACAGCGGACAATACTCCAGTTCTTATTATAATTGAAAAGGTATAATTACAGTCCACAAATGACCCTCCTGGTCTCTCCAGTTTACTGCCTTTCATTTCCCCCACGCTCTTCCTCCTGTGTACTACTTTTGATTTTTTTTTTTTTTTTTTTCACAAAAAAGCTGGCAATATCCCCACTTTTAGCCTTCCTTTTCATGGTTAGGCTCCAGCTACTTTCTTCAACTACTCCCATGCAAAAGTCAATACTGTATGTGAAATCTCTGGTTATCATTACATTACACTGTAGGGCCATGTAGCTTCTAAGTAGCTTACAACAAATATAAAATCAGAATTAGGCCTCAAAAGTACGATTCATCTTGGAGAATAATAATAATAATAAACAGAGCAATTCCAAGAGGGTCCTCTCACCATTGGTGCTCGGGCCCGAAAGATTTATCACATGCACACACCAGTTACTGTATGTTTAGACTACTTAATCCTATTGTATTTGTTATTTCCCCAGTTATAACCTGGTTTCATTAAATGATATCTGAGAGGAATTGGATTTATAGAACTGCTTAGCTCAGAGGTCAGGTACCTTTTTTGACCAAAGAGACATTTTCTTTTATTATTTATGGTTAATGCATTTTTTCAAAAGAGCCTCAGTAAAAGATATACTGGTCAAAAGTTTTAGATCAGTAAGATTTTTTATGTTTTTAAATGAAGTTTCTTCTGCTCACCAAGGCTGCTTTATTTGATGGGGGAAAAAAATGACAAACAGTAATATTGTGAAATATTATGACAATTTAAAATATCTGTTTTCTATTTTAATATATTTTAAAATGTAATTTGAAAGTTGAATTTTTAACATCATTACTGTTGCTGATTACACATCAGTTTTCAGTGCCACATGATCCTTCAGAAATCATTCTAATATGCTGATTTTATGCTCAAGAAAAAGCATTTTCTAATTTCTTTCCCCCAAAAATAAAAAAATAAATTCTTACTGACCCCAAACTTTTGAATGGTAGTGATTAATGTTACAAAATCTTTCCATTTCAGATCAATTCTGTTCTTTTGAACTTTCTATTCATCAAAGAATCCTGAAATAAAAATGTAAAAAACTGTTTTCAACATGGATAATAATCATAAATGTTTCTTGAGCATCATATTATAATAATTTCTGTAGGATCATGTGACACTGAAGACTGGAGTAATGATGCTGTAAATTCAGCTTTGATCACAGGAATAAATTACACTTCACTATATATTCACATAGAAAACTGCTGTTTTAAATTGTAGTAATATTTCACAATATTACTGTTTTTTTGTATTTGTTATCAAATAATTGCAGCCTTGGTGAGCCCAAGAGACTTCTTTTAAAAACATAAAAAATCTTAGTAGTGTATATAATAATATTATTAAAAACATGCGTTTTTCAATGAAATTTCAACAGTATTAGGATAATTATTAGGTCCATAGACAACTAAAAACAAACAAATATTTAGCAAACAAAGTTTCAATATTAATTGTGAATTGCTTTCACAATTAGGGGAGTTATCAACTGAGCATAGTTTCTCATACTTACAGTACAGTTACATAGTAGCTACTTCTACTGTGTTTACGTGAATACTCGACTTGGCATTTTCATATATTTATGTATTCATTTGGCCATTTAGGCGCGCAACCGAAAAGCGAATCAAATGACCGTTCTCCTAACTGGCGATGTGTGTTGTAACGTAACAGCGGAGATCATCAGTTAAACGTTATGGATACAAACAATATTTTATAGTTTATTAAGCTGTTCTTGTCTTTACTAAAATCGAAATTAGATAATCAAAGGGAAGAGTGCTCTTAAAGACGACCCCCCCCCCCCCCTGCCCCCTGTAGAACCGCCCCTGCGGCCCTCGCAGCCTCGAAACCATAGAAACACTACCGGACCACCGGTAAAAGTCCCGACTCACCCGATTGCCACTCCGCCCCTGCACGCCATTAAAAAATATAGCCTATATATATGTGAATCGATTTTTGGAATTCTATGAATCGATTCTGAATCGGTAAAGATTGAATCGCTATTCAAATGTGAATCGATTTTTTTTGCACACCCCTACTTGATACACAACATAAACGTCACAACATGTATCTGCACAAAAGGACGAAAATGCTTGTGGACTTTTAGTTACATGCTAGCCAGAAAGTATAAGTGGATGTGCTCTTCCCGTAACAACTCGCTGGAACACAGGCAACTAAAGCACAAAGAATTTACAACATTCTTTTACAATCATGTTCTCATTATAATGTTATCTATATGCATTGGCGTAATTTGTGGATGGGACGGGTGGGACATGTCCCCACCACTTTTTAACAGGGTCGATATTGTCCCCACCTCTTTTTAAAACATCTCATGGTACCTGAGGTCTGATTGCTTAGCGTCCAGACTGGCAAAATAAAGTGCAACTACAGTGCTTAGCATAAGTGAATACACCAATGCTAAAGTCGACTAAAAAGAGGAATAAAAAAAAATCATCTTTTGGAAATTGATCTTAATGCCTTAATTAAAAAAAAGCGAGGAAATACTCAAACTTTAAGGACACCGATTTTCTTTGTGATAAATTATGTATCGTAAATACAGGGGGCAAGTCAGGACACCCCTATGTTGAATTCCCATAGAGGCAGCAGATTTTTATTTTTAAAGGCCAGTTATTTCATGGATCCAGGACACTAGGCATCCTGATAAAGTTCCCTTGGCCTTTGAAATTAAAATATCCCCACATCATCACACACCCTTCACCATACCTAGAGATTCTTATGGGGTCCTTTCTCTCAATGCTTATCAAACCAGCTATTAGGCTAAATGAAATAAAACCATGCCAATCTCTTGGTATGGTGGATCAGTCTAAGATCAGTGTTATTAAAAATATTTTGGTTTGTTATATTTGAATGATAGTTGACTATGCATAGACTGAAATTAATGTTTTGTTCAGGATTCATTGTTTAGAGATGAAGGAGGAGAGGGAGGACAGGCTGGAGTTTATTGATAAACAGCTGGATCTGCTCACACTGGACTGCAAGAGCAAAATCAAAAAGATTACAGAGGAGGTCGAGAAACAGGTGATGCTCCCTTTATGACTCGCTTGTTTTTCTGTCTTTCTCAGAAATCTTTGCTATTGCCTATTTTGTGTCTAGGGCTGGGCAAACAGAGTATACAAAGTTAGAAAGATTGGGCTGTGTGTGTACAGTATGAACTCACTGTGTATAAGTGCACTGTACGCATACCCTAGTGTATGCATAAAAAACGAAATGCACTTTGGGCATTTAAAAAATCAGTAATTTCTGTTTTGGACTAAATTGGCTCCATGATATTTTTAAAAGACACATTTTTGTTTTTAGTTTGGTTGAAATCAAACATTTAAGCTTCATGTAAACATTTAATGTCTAATATAGTACATTTATCAAATTACCCCATCATTGTAGAATATTAGACTGAGTAGATTTGTATGATGTGCCAAAAAAAGTTAAAGTATAGTTGTTCATAGAAATGTACTTTTTTTTTTTTTTTACAATTTAAGCTTCAAGCATAGTAAAACTGGCATTTGCAAGGTTGTTTCCACCTTTTAACCTGCTCATCTGGATGTGTAGGTATCTAATGCTATGGCCGAGGAGATCCGGAGACTGGCTGTACTAGTGGATGACTACCACATGGACTTTCATCCTTCACAAGTGGTGCTCAAAGTATACAAGAATGTGAGTTGGACTTGATGTCCACCCATGTCTTCTCTTTATTTGTATGCTGCTTTATCCGCTCTTGGTTAATGTTTAGTGTCAACATGTAACTCTCCGCATGGAAATCCCCCAGCTACCCAAAAATGTAATTTGAGCTTATCTATGGGACGAGGACACGTCCTTGTTAATTTTCAGTTTTACACAGGGCTGTATATAGATAAAAGCAGTTAATAGAGATTAATCAACGGATTTATTTTCTAGTTAATATTGTCTTTGGTAGCTCTCGTTTATTTTCTTTATTTTTCCTCATGTTTTGCTGGACTGATTGATTTTAGGAGCTCCACAGGCACATAGAGGATGGTCTTGGCAGGAATATGTCAGAGAGATGCTCCAGTGCGATAACTGCAGCGTTGCAAACCACACAGACTGAAATGATAGGTCAGTATCTCTCTCATTTGGCTTTCAAGCAGCTCATACCAGTAATAGCAGCAGGCTAACGAGATGCCTGTGATCGTTCCAGAGGGTCTGAAGCCTCTGCTGCCCATTGGCATTCGAGAACAGGTGGACAAGATTGTGCCAAGACAGTGCTTCGCCCTCAGCTATGACCTCAACTGTGACAAACTCTGCAGTGACTTCCAGGAAGACATCAGCTTTCACTTCTCCCTGGGGTGGACCATGCTGGTCAACCGCTTCCTGGGTCCCAAAAACACACGCCGCGCCCTCATGGGCTACAATGACCAGGTAGCACATGTTCATTTTGGATGGTCCTTGCTTTTGTCAAGTCGGTTCACCTTTAAATATATAGCGCTTTTTATAAACGGATAGTTTCAAAGGAATCTTTTTAAATAAGTGTAAATATTTTTCCATTAAAAAATTTTGGATTGTTGTCGGTTAACCACCAAACCCCGCTAGATTTGTTGCTTCTTCACGGCGCTAAGAAAAAATCCCATAACTTCACAGCCCTAGTCTTGAAACGCAATATCACAACAATGTACTAAAAGTTTAACAAAAATTGCAATTTAAAAATGGCTTTGTTTAATGGTTTATTATATATATATAAAATAAACCATTAAACAAAGCCATTTTTAAAATGCAATTTTTGTATGTATATATATATATATATATATATATATAGGGCCCTAAAAAGGGCCCTCTGAAATGTTTTATTTTTTCATAAATTCTGTGTTCTCTTAATTTATCTGGATGTTATGCACACATGCAGGTTTATTATCAGAAATTGGTTAATAAATTAAGATTTACAGATGTTTACATTTAAATAAAACATGGAGGAAAAAGTGTGTGATATCCTTAGAAAATCAAGTTTTATTATTATTACTTTGAGAAATACATAATACTGTATAATAATCATATATATTTCTGTTATGTCTTCAATTTAAACAGACTTTCAGGACAGAACAGGTTAAACAGGAGTCAGGACAGGTTGTCATTAAGACCTTTGAGTTTTTGAGTTTATGTTATGATGATGATAGAGACACGAGTGTCACATGCTTGAGTATGTGTAATAGATGAAACTGCACTGCTTATTCACTCTGAAACTCACAGAACATGCAGACTTCACATTTTTAAATAGCAGTCTTTTTGTGCTTTAATATTTTCAGACACTGTAGTCCATATCGCGCATTGATTTGGTGTTCAGCCCTAGCTTTGTTTCTAATTGATAAAGGATATGTGCTGTATTGGCAGGTTCCCAGGCCTCTGGCCATCACTCCGGTCAGCACCAGTATGCCTCCTTTCCCTCAAGGATCCATGACCCAGGAAGAGCTTATGGTTTCTATGGTAACAGGATTGGCATCACTCACCTCTCGGACATCAATGGGCATTATAGTTGTTGGAGGAGTGGTAAGAAGATACCAAATATCTCTAACACACCAAAATGCATGTGTTCCTACAATATATACACTGCTACCAAGGCTGCATTATTTGATCAAAAATACACAAAAAACTGTAATATTGTAAAATATAAGTGGGGTTGGTACAGCATGGGGGTGAGTAATTATGACTTAATTTCCATTTTTGGGTGAACTAACCCTTTAATAATATTTCACAATATTACTGTTTTTATTGCATGTTTGATTCAATAAATGCAGCTGTGGTGAGCATAAGGGCTTGAAATCTTCAATCTTTGAACTGTTTTTTATAGTTAATCTGCAAAAATAGATTTTGTCATAAATTTCTCACCTTCATGTCATCTGCTTGTCTAATAACTTCAGTCATTATAATTGTTGTAGTATTTGCTGAAATGTATGTGTGATTGTATTTCTCTGTCTCAGATCTGGAAAGCAGTGGGCTGGAGGCTCATTGCTCTGTCTGTGGGTCTCTATGGACTGCTGTACGTGTATGAGAGACTCACATGGACCACTAGGGCCAAAGAGAGAGCGTTTAAAAGACAGTTTGTGGACTACGCCAGCGAGAAACTACAGCTCATCGTCAGCTACACGGGGTCCAACTGCAGCCATCAGGTTCAGCAGTGAGTCTCAACCTACCTCTACTCTAGCCAATTGTTGGCCAATCATATGATTCCATCCGTTTTATAAATTGTTCCAGAAGTCGTCAAATCAAGGACTTTCTTTTTGTTTGGTGCCATCAAACTGTTTTTTTTTTAATTATTATTATTTATTAATAGCACTAAAATTGGAATATTCTTATTTTATTATGCCTTTTAAAATTTGTTGTCAGTAAGATTTTATGTTTATGAAAGAGGTCAATTATGCTCACCAATGCTACATTGTGATCACATTGTCATATTGTGAAATATTACAATTTAACCCTAAAACTGTATTCTGGACAAATGTGGGCAAAATAGTTTTGATATATTTTTAAAAAATACTTCCCTTGATCTGAGTGGTACAAGACTTGGCTACTTTTCTTAAGTTTGTCTCCTAAACACACACAATTTATTATTTTATTTTGTTGGACTCAATTCTACAATGTTAAGTGGGTGAAAAAAACCCCCTCCTTAATCTTGTATTTGGGTCAAAAATGGGCACCCATAGAAATGAATGGGAAAAACTAATTTGGAGCATTCCAAAATAAGACACCAGGTGAGAGCAAAGTCACTTCATCTTTAGGTTTTAGCTCTAAGAACTTATTGGAATTTTATTTTAATGTAGTTAAAAAAAATAAAATAAAACATAAAAATAAGCATAATTTACACAGAAAATATGGTACTTTTTGAAGTAAATAAATTCAAAAATACCCCCCAAATAAAAAAAAAACCCACCATAAATGGATAGACAACTTTATTGAAGACAGTGATATAACATTTATAATAAATAAAAATTAGGATCACACCTGAGTCCTCTGTGCCCACATTTTTCCACAATTACAGGATTAAGGGCTTTAAAGTGAATCCGGTTTGAGGGCTACAATAACTGTTCTATTTTAATATTTGTAAAAGTAAATAAATAAATCTGTCACAGCATCATTACTCCCCCGAGAGTCAATAATTTTATCCCTTAAAACTAATCTTTGATCCCCAAAATTACGTATTTAAAAAATATGTAACTCAGAAACATCAATATGATAATTATCCCCGCCTCCGCTCACTCACACCAGCTCAGAGATTCACTCGGTCAACTTACTGAGGTAAACACAATGGTATCGCTCTTTACAGCGTCGGACACATAACAGTAATTAATATGATTAGCATTTTACTTCACTATGTTATCAAACAGTTAATAATGTGTTGCTAGTGTTATTCAAACCATGTTCCTGTTCAATCTCAGAGTCAGACAGCTGCCTTCTAACAATTACCAGAAACACTTTAAACATCAGAATGTCAGTTGGGAAGAAAGGTTATAGTTATAGGTTATAGAGAGAGTTCATCATATCATCGTTATATACTTCATACACCCGCTATATTGCTAAATCTACCCGATTATTCATATCAACAAAAAATATACCAGTATAACGTGGCATCTCTTGAGACCCCTGATAGTTCGCTATTAATGATATGCTAAATCCCGCCAGCACGTTGTCACGATTGGTTACGGGTTCTTTGGTTCACTGTAGTTTTAAAGAGAAAATACTCTTAATTTACAACATGGTCAGTCTTAAAGCACATAAAAAAACATACTTCTAAACAACATTAAAAGCTCAATTTTCACCCCAGGGGGACTTCAATATTTTTATGAAAACGCATGAATAGAATGATCGAAATAACAGCATTTAATTGAAGCCTTTACTGTCCGTTTTGATCAGTTGAATTAATCTTGTTGTAATGTTGAGTAAAAGCATTAATTCCTTTCAGAAAAAAATACTGACCTCAGACTTAAAAATGTTGGTGACATTGATCTCACCTAAATCCATCAAACAAAGAAATCCCATCATGGAAGATAATAAAATAGATGTCTTACATTCTGTGTGAAAGTCTTTTTGAAAACATACAAATCTTTTTGATCCAGTATTATTCTGAGTGTAGGTAGATTGATAGAACTGGAGTTAATCTGAACCGTGATGTCAAACGTTGTGTTATTTAGACAATTCTTCAGCACTGCCCTCTGGTGGATAAAATTAATATATGAACAATTTATGAAGTACGATATTTGCTCTCTGTAGTTGTGTTCACAGAAGTGCATTTTTAAACATTGTTGAATCCTTGTTTGATACAGGGAGCTGGCCAGCACCTTCTCTCAGCTGTGTCAGCAGGTGGACGTTACCAGACAGCAGCTGGAGGATGAAATCCGGGATCTGAACAGCAAGATCGAACAGCTGGACTCCCTGCAGAGTAAAGCTAAACTGCTCAGGTGAGAGTCTGTGTGACATGTTCAGTAACTGTAATGTGTTTGAAAGAGCATTTGATATTTAGCAGCAGTGGAATTAGTTTATATGTAGTCTTGTTCAGGGGCCTGGACCATGATGGTGTTTGAACAAACTCAGGGTTGCAGGATTAGTGTCGAGTTGACAAAACCAAACCAATCTAACCAGGATTCGTTGGTACCATGATGCTGATCATCAACTTTCTCTGTCAACTCAGGCTTTGATCCTGAGTTTAGGTGTGACATGAGTAGCGAACAGCCAATCACATGCTGAGAAAGAGTGAAACTCATTCAAAACTCATTGAAATTAATTTCTGGCGAGAGAAGTAGCGCAATTCACTTATTAAATAAAAGTATTAAAATATTAAGAATTTAAACAAATTTACACAGCAAGATGAAAATAGCTGTCTATGAAAGAGGACAACTTAAAGAAAGTCTCGTTACTGTTTATCAGTGCAAGTAAAAGTTGTGAATTTAGTTTAAACCGTTGATAAAGGTATAGAGAGAATTGAACATTTAAGCTCATATGTAGGGCTGGGTAATATGTTCGATTTCGATTCGCAAGCTCTCAATTCGATTTCGATTCTCGATTCCTGATTTGATTCTCGATTCGACTATAATGAATATAGATGTAATACGAAAAAGAACAGTGGACATAAGTTTACTAGTGGTTAATTAATACAAAGAAATTAAGAGCCACAAACCTGTATATAAAACTCTTTTTATTTTAGGTACACTATACACTAAATGCTTACAATGAATACTGTAGACAGGATTTTGATGCAAGATGCAAAATTATACAAGTCAGAACAGTCGCATGCCTTCATCAAACAGGATCAGGTTATTTTATGTTTAAAAAAAGATATAAATAAATATTTAGACTTTTTTTGATCTCACCTAAATGTTTTTACAATGGGGTAATTTTTATTAAGAGTTTATGCAACACATGGAAGCTTGATTTCAATCTTTGAATTAAATTGAAAAAAGTAGCACAAATAAATATACAATCGAATAAAGAGACATAAAAATAAAAAAGTTTTTGGGTAGGTCAGAAATACTACCGAAACTAAATAAAGTAATCCAGGGTAGTCTTTTAGTCCTGACTGAATTAAATACATAGGCTATTAATTCTAATTGCTTACAATTAATGCTATATTATGTTGTTATGACAACAGAATTAATGACAGATACATATGGCTGCGTTCACTTAAAGAACTAGTGCACGGATCCATTACTGTTTCATTATAACTTTCTGTCACACAAGAAATAACCGACTGTCTTTACGGGGTTATTCACCAAGACCAGAGTTTTGTCCCGATTCCTAAACGCGAGTGTGTATCGACGCCTGCAGCGCTTGGCGCTTGCCTTGTGCAGAGAGAGAAGAGCCACAAACCTGTATATAAAACAGGCGGGCAGCTTTTTCCATACTGCCCGCCCTCTATATGGAAAAATCAATTCGTGGCCGTTGAGAATCGATTTTGAATCGACCACATTATTAAAAAACGATTAATCAAAAAATCTATTTTTTTGCCCAGCCCTACTCGTATGTAGTCATTTTATAGCTTCATTTATTGATTCTAAAGCATATTTAAATTACCTTTATATACCTCTACAGTATATATATATAAAATCTCTGTAATAATAATTGATGAACTGAAATTGTACATGTGAGATAATTTAAGGGTATAATAATTACAGAAATAATTTCTAAATCATAAAAATGTATTTACTAAAAGCCGTGATTTTGTCTTTTAAAATCATTTGCTATGTAGTGAGTGACCTTTAATTTGGAGTGGAAACAGGGGGAGTGACATTTTCGCGTCGGACGTGTCACTTAGCTCACAGCTGATTGCTCCAAGTTCGTTTTGCAACATCTTACCTGGAACATAACCTGCCCTGAACCAGGTTAGCTGTGTAGCATGAGTTACTATGGTGATGAACACTGCTAAAAGCCAAACCACTTTCATGGTGCCTAAAACCCAGGGTTTGCGCAAACTAAACTGAAACATAGCTGGCTAGCCACCTAAACTGGCTTCATGGTACAGGCCCCAAGAATGGATCTTACTGTGACAACATATACACTACAGTTCAAAAGTTTGGGGTTGATAACATTTAAAAAAAAGAAAAATAATAATAATACACTTGATTTTTAATTTGATCAAAAGTGATAGTACAGACTAGGGGTGGAACGGTACACTGAAGTCACGTCCCAGTTCATACCTCGGTTCAGACATCACGGTTCGGTACGATTTCGGTACAATGGAGGAAAAAGTAAAACAAAAATACAGAAGGCATTGTATTTTCTAAATAAGTTTTATTAATAAAGGCATAGAACCAGTTTATTTGTAGTGCACTGACAATAGTTTTATATAATTAGTTTATAATTAAATGAATAAAAAGACAAAAAGACCTTGCAATATGTTTGGTAATTGTACCTGAATTAATTTAAAATGATTTTGCTATATTTCAGATTAATGTACTTGTTTTCCTGTTAACAATTATAAATTATAATTATAAATAATTGATTTCTGTATAAAATAATACTACCATTAAAAACACATTCGGTTTTCTTTTTTAATCAATATATTTTAATCTTACACTTTAAGAATGAGTAAGATTAGTGCTCCGAGGAATATGACGAATGCCCAAAAGATGGGACCCGCAGACTGTTTTGAAATGGAGATGGATAAATATGTTTTGCTTTTAAAACTGTGTGTGTGTGTGTGTGTGTGTGATTTTGGTTGGGTGACAGTTGTAAACACAAATATAAGAAGAGTTTTTATATTTCCACTGTTCTATCGTGCCTTTCTCTCTCTCTCTATCTCTCTCACACACACACACACACACACACACACACTCCAGCATTGCAATCTTGACATCGCAGCCTGTTCATTATGCGGTCACACCAAACGCGAATAGAGCGCCAAATTCGCATCTATGCGCGTCTAGTTTGACGCTAGTCCAAAGCGAGGATGCGCGTTCAAAAGCCAACGTTTGGAATGAACGCACGTTCAGAGCATAGACGGTTCAGAGCTAGCCGATAGTACAGATTATATGTCCCTAAAGAACCCGCGTATCTAACAGTAGTTCCGCATTACATTAATTAATATGCACGCAAGTTTTATTTGTTTTTTATACCGTGTATTCTCCGTGTAAATTCGTGCACCGAACCGTGACGCCCGTACCGTTTCGGTTCTTTGCGAATACATGGACCGTTCCACAGACATATTCATCAAATAATCCTGAAATCTGGAGTAATGACTGCTGAACACCAGCTTTGCCATCATAGGAATAAATGATATAAAATAAATATATTAAATGGTAAATGGACTGCATTTATAAATCTTTTATCAACCCCAAACGTTTGAAATGCATCAGAAGAACCATTCCAACTTAGCACATTAAAATCATTTCAATTATTCATGTTCATTTGACTTTTGTTAACATGTGATTTCTTCTACAGGAATAAAGCTGGCTGGTTGGACAGTGAACTAAACATGTTTACCCAGCAGTATCTTCAACAAGGCCGATAGAGAGAGAGTGTGTAGAGCAGCTCATCTCCCCACTGCTGCACTTTTAATATCTAACACTAAGACATGCTTTCAGCCATTTATTTGAGCATACCAAATATTGGTCATTTCATGTTTGTTTGTTAGTTTTTTGCCTTTGAGAGTAGTGACATGCACCACTTTGAAGAGAGCTCCCTTTTGTTTTTGTACAAACTCTTTCTTTTGTATTTAATACAGGGTTAATTATTTATTCTTGACATGCGGTCGTGTAAAGTGGTTGATCTCTTAGATTGTGTTAAAGATTCCCATACAGATTTTCTTGGCATGCCATAGCAAGTTGCAAAAAGTGAGATGTCCATTTTAAACGGTCTCTCGCATGCCTTGTATTTAGTCTGACAGTGTGCTGTAAGGCCATGAATTTAACGTGGAATTCTCCTCTTTGGTCTTTGTCACAACTCTACTAGGTTTGACATATGTAACGTTAAGCAAGCGTTCCACTCTGAGTGTTTGATGGTGTGTGGCGGATTGTCACCGGGATGCTGTAAGGAGGCTGATCTCACTCAGTGAATTCAGTGAAAATGAAAACTATTCAAGTTATATTTTTTGTCACCCTGTTCTAAATGTATTGATCTGGCTGACACTTTTGGGAACATGTTCAAAAAATGAAGTTTGAATATATGCCCATTTTCTAGACAACTATTTTTTTTTAAGTTAAGTATTTTTTTTGTGAGAAATGTGACTTAATGAAATCAGCAATATTTTGGTGCCTCTTCGATATGTTCCCCTCATAACTGCACCGTTTTACTACAAATCATTTGTTTGTTCAGATAATTTACTAGCAATATTGGGATAAATGAGTATTAGTACAACATGGTATGTATGAATTGGAAAGAAAAACTAGCTTCATGTAAACCTGGACACCAGTTAGGCTAAGCATATAATTAAAAGTTCGTCATACATTTATTCCACCTGACGTCCATATCTGGAATCTAATCTGCAAGATCAGACTGTCAATGTGTGTGATCCATTACTAACATGTTAGTCGCTCATATATCTATGGTAACCTGTTTTATGATGTGTGCCAAGTGTTAAAGAATGTGATCTGGAAAGCTCTTGTGATGTGCACTTTATATTTTGCTGCTTTTTGTCTTTATTTCCAGCAGGTTTATTAGAAAGAGAATGGTACACTGAGCTTATGTCAACTTTAATGTATAGATGAGCATGCGGACCGTTGTAATTTATTGTCATTCACTATTACTGTTAGAGGAAATAATAAAGTGACACTGTTGATAAAATGAACGATTGCCTGATTTTTCTCTGTAAAGCTGTGGAAAATGTAGATTTTTCTTTCTAAAACGATGCTTAAAGAAACATGAGTGGCTGTTACATTCTTTTAATGGCCAAACATTTTATTAAATTGGGGAAATACGTTTTTTTTTTTTTTTTTTTTTTTGCAGTTCATATTAATATATAATAATAACCTATTTTTTTTACAGACGCACACATTCAACAGTTTTTCAGTGAGTGGCTAATATCCCAATTAACAGTCAGGGTTTCCACAGTCCTGGAAAACTTAGAAATATTAGAGAATTATATATATATATATATATATATGGAAATCAATACATTTTAAAAAGTCCACATCAATCAATGTACACTGTATATTGCCGCCGATGTATAATTTTATAACATTTTGTATAAAGTTTTGAATATTTTTGTAAATCTAAAATTCATAAAAACTATCCAACATGTTTCTACTTGCATTCTGACATGATTCTGATGAAAAATCTGTCACCAAATGCCATTACATGTAGTGACAAAGTGCTTTTGGTAGCACTTTATTTTACAGTCCTGGTCCGCATATACTTATTATTAATTACAATAAATTGGTAATAATAGGTATTAACCCTGATCCTACCACTAAACCTAACCTTAACCCATGTAGTTACCTTACCCAGTCTTTTCTTAGGAAAGTACATGTACTGTAAAAATAAAGTGCAACCATAATTTATTTTAATTACAATTGAGCTGTTGTACAGTAATGAAGATTTCTTTTGGATTTATTTCTTCTTCTCAACCAGTAGATATGCTCCCATGGCTAGTTGATGCATGAAATTAAATCCCATGGTCATATATTATTATAATGGTACAATGACTTCACTCTCTGACAGGCACCATACATTTTAATGTGCTAGTTAATTAAAGGAAACTAATTAAAAGTCCTTGGAGTTAGACATTAATATGCCAAGGCTGAAAGTTGCAATTTGTTGTTTAATTAATCAAATTAAGATAGTTCTGCCATTTAAAAAAAAAAACATTTTTGAAAACTAGAAGTTTGAATATCTGGGGTAGCCTACTCAAAAGTCTCATTGGGCAGTGATTGAGTTCATTAAAAAATTGTACAGAACTTAACGATTTATTTTTACACACTTTATGACTTAGAAACCTGTGACGCAAAAGCAAAACTCTTTAATCGTTGAAAAACTCCAAAACAAGACTTCTAAGAGTGTCCCTAATTATTATCCGACCCATTGCATGAGAAAACTCCATTTATAACCCTGATGTTTCAGTTTTCAAACAGTAATTAAGGCCTTAATGAACGAAGCACTGCTGCCCCACCCTCACATCCCTGAGCTCATTTGCATGTTAATTATCATTAGCGTCATGGGGGAAAGGGCCCATAACAGCTAAATTAGCAGCTCAATCATATTTTTGGCTACCCAGAATGCCACTGGAGCACAACAGGACATATAATTCTAGTCCCTCTCTCTCTCACCTTTTCCCTGCCTTTCTTAGCCTTTCAAACAAAGGACAGGCATTGAATGGTTAACACACAAACAAATGTCACACCTGACCAGTAAAAATGGGAGATTTTACGGTGGTTTTAAAACTTTTTAAACGCTCCGTTATTTTTACCAAATCGCGATCAAATAATATTCTAATAAGCTTATATATTATATGATAATATCGCATGTCAAATAAATAGTTCAGTCGTGTTGCTGAGAGGTGGATCTCCCCTGTCTCACCAAAAGAGGGCGACAGAACCTAACATTTCAGACAGAAACGCAACGCTCAGCACGCACAGCTAAATTAAACCTTGACGTTCCAGAGGAAATCCCGCTTTACTCGTAAAATCAGTAATATGCATATTAAAATAAATTATTCGTTTGTTTATTTATTTAAACAAGTGGGACATTTTGATGTTAAGTTGTTTGTTGCAAATCGTGTAGGCTAAAACCATCATTTTTGTGTGTTTAAATTAAGTAGGCTAGGCTGTCTCTTTTTATCATCAGACTTTTCCCTGGTTTCAGATTAACAAGAAAAGACAGGATTCTTCTGTTGAATAAATAATAAACGTTTATTTAACGTCATTATGTTTTATTGACGTTATGGGTCCAATAAAGACTGTATTCTGCATCTTTCGTCATATTTTTAGCCTGTGTAAAGATATTAATTGGAGCTCTCTTTCAACGAAAATAAGACACTTATATTGTTTTATAATGCATCTTTGTTGATATTTACCAAACCAATGTAGCGTTTTCTCAGTATACAGATTGTGCCATATATATAGCGGGCCCTAGGCTGGGAGATTATTTGAAGAGTTCAGATGCAAAAGCCTCTAAATGCCATTTGAAATTTTCTTCTTTAATGATGATTTTTTATCAAACTTGTATATTTAAGTTCAGTAATTTCACTTAAATAACAATTAATAGGTAATTATCATTGCCATTTAAGTGAAATCACTTAACTTAAATATACAAGCTTGATAAAAATGATCATTCTAGAAGAAAATTTCAAATGGCACTTAGAGGCTTTTGCATCTGAACTCTTCATTTTAAAACTGGGCATGGCCGAGACGCCAGAAAATGAATGACTGCATGTCTGATGTTTTAGAAATATGATTTGGATGTATTTGATTTTGCAGCAGCATGCAGGTTTCTCCATGTCCCGAGAGACCTGAGTCCGAGCATCGAAGAAACACACAGAATATAAGGACAAGCAACGAACATGTAGGCTTCGTGAAGACAGTTACATTTACTCTTATGTTAAGATTGTCTTACTAATTAGTTTGACCCCTATCAGTTAGACACAAGAGGTAATCATTTTAAATTAGACCAATCTACCTTTTATGTAACTGACTTTATAAAGTTGGGACCAGTCTTGAGGAAAACAATTTGATGACTAACTTTTAAGCACGCAATATGCCACTCTTGAAAAAAGGGTTCTACAAATGCATAGGGTTCTTTACTCAACTCCAAAGGACATTTTATGCTAAAAAAAAAAAGGTTCTAATGACAAGAAAGAACACTTTTGGGACAAAAGTTCTTTATAGGCTATTATTCGTTCATATATTACATTATTCTGCAACATTTTAGTTGTAATTAAATTATTGTTCATTAAACTGTTGTAGTAACTTAATATCACATTTTAATCATGCAGATTTTTGGAGCATAAAAACTGAAATGGCACTCGTTGTGTGAAATTGATTAATTAAAATTTTTACCCCCATATCTTGAATTTTGTGATCATTCACATGCATTGCATTTTAGGGGTTCCAAATATAGCGCTTTAGAACCTTTAAGGTTCTATTTAGAACCTTTAAGGTTCTATATAGAACCTTTTCTTCTAAGAGTACACTGGCTTTTTAACATACTTTTTGTGCTATCTTGTGATTTTAGATTTGAGAGTACACCTAAATTACTATGGACATTTCATGCTAATCATTTTGTGGTTGAAGATACTCTTGCACCTATAGAAGTTATAAACTGCACTTCTGACCATAATACTTAGTCTACAGATATCTGACCTTGTGAAAAAGATGCCTTTATTTTTTTTTAAAAAAATAAAAACTGTAGATAATATTACTGAAATACCAATAAGTGTGGCTATAAAGAGAGAGACACTTTAACATTATGCTATTTGGATGTGTTGATGTATAGACCATTTTGCAAGATGTAAACAACACTGGTCCAGAAACACTTTCTGTTTCAGTTTGTAACTGTTTTCTTTATTTCACATGTAAAGAAAACATCTTAAAGATGTTGTTTAACTTTTTGTTTCAGTTTTATATGTTCTGTTGGTTGTATTTTATCCCAGCTTTTGTGTAGTGTTAAAAAACTGAAACAGGAAGTGTTGTTTACAACTTGCAAAATGGTCTATACTTGATTATATGTTTAATACAATAGTGTTATTTGATATAAAGTTATATATTTGAAATGTACTAAATTGCAATTTCATCTTAACAAATGTGAAACATCAACAGAAATTACATTACAAGTATATTGTAGTTACTATACATGCTTGTCAGTATATTCAACACAAGACATTTATGTATGAAATTAAATGGTAAGACTTAATAAGGTTCATTAGTTAATATTAGTTAGTTAACATGAACTAACAATGAACTGCACGTATGCATTTATTAATCTTTGTTAATGATAATTTCAACATTTACTAATACTTTATTAAAATCGTGTTAACATTATTTAATGCACTGTGAACTAAAATGAACTAACAGTGAACAGTTCTATTATTATTAAAACAAAGATTAACAAATACACTATGGATTGCTCATGGTTAGTTCATGTGAGTTATTACATTAACTAATGTTAACAAATGATCCTTATTGTAAAATATTACCAATTCAATATATAAAAGATATTAAGTCCTACATAAATTGGTCAAAAAAGCTCTCTTAAGTTTTACTTATTTAATATAAATGAAATATATATGTCTAAAACATTACATTCAGTATATTCTTCTACCGTAGCATATTTCCATAATAAGTAGGCTACTGTTTTTAAAAGTATAGTGCACTTCTTTATCATAGATGAATGAAAATGCTATAGTGCTGTTGAGGAAGATCAGGCAACCAGCAAACCAGTGTTATAGCATTGACTTATTTATTTCTAATAAATTTGCAACCTAACTGAAAAGATCAATTCATAAAATGGACAAATGCTAGCAGCTGATGTTTTCCTTTTTTTTTAACAATAGAAATTGCTTCATATGTTATGCTTATCAAAGTTGCCACTCTAGACTTACTCTAAAATATTATCTCATTGGTGCATCACCATCATCATCATTATTAAGTTTTTTTCAACTTTTGTCTTAGCCTATTTTTTTCTGCAGAAGCAGTTTCAGCATAAGTCTTTCGATCAAAATGTTTTTAAGATCACGATAAACGTAAAGTTGACTGTATCAGACAGTTTTGACTTTTCAATAGTTTATAAACACCATTTTTTACCCCTTGTTTAACATGCAGTCCTAAAATGAAATCCTAAATCTTAAAAATATAC